TCTTTCTCCAGGGGGGCTCCGGAGGCCGAGCGCGGGGTCTTTTTCTCCGAAAAGGGGGCTGGAAGAGCCGGTTGTGGGGGGAGCTTTTGCTCCGGATTAAGTCTCCGGTGATCCCCGTGGAGTTTGTCCCCAGGTAAGTCAAAGGGTTTAGGGGGGCTTCCTGCCGCTGGCTCTCCCCCCTTCAGGAAATGGAGAGTCACAAAAGTTTTATCAATAGCCCAAAGGATTCTAAGGAGTCCTGAAGTATCTGGACCCCCCTTTCATCCTTCCTAGCTTTCTGGGGAGGAACACAAACTATAAACTTCATGCACTTTATAGGGCTCCCACATGCAACTTTTTACCTCTTATATTTTTCTGCTTCTTCCTGAGAAGCACCCATTGCCGGATGCTGATCTAGGACCCTAACAGAGACGATCCCCTGCCTCCCCTGGATAGGTTGGGGCTACGCTTTCTGTGCTGGCTAGGGATGCTGGGAGTTGTAGTCACAGCACATCCCAAGGGTCTATCATGGGAAAGACTGGCCTAGAGACCAGTTGCCCTTAAATAATGCCCAGGACTGGGCAATGGCCCCCAGGTCACAGACCTGACTTTCAGCTCCATGTTTGTGGCTGGAATGGCCAGCACAAAGGGCCTTTCCAGGCAAGGGGCCCCAGCTGCAAGAACAGTCTACCCCTGAATGCTCAAGCCCAATTGGTGGAGAAGAAGGGGTCGGCCACTTGGGTGGCTTAATCTCCACGTTATTCTCACCTGGCTCTGTTGTCTGATCCAGGGAAGGACCTTTTCATCCCAAAGCAGAGAACGCAGCTGTGGACCCTCAGTTCGTTCCCCCGATCTTGTGTGTAACCAGTGGGCAGCAGATCTCCTTGTTATCCGCTGGAGTTTTCTCAACCCACCCGGGAAATGCTGAGGACTGAATTTGGGATCTCTTGCCTGCAAAGCAGGGGCCCAGATCCTTCCTGGCCTTGGAGCCACTGGCAGTGCTGGCTTCCCTTGGGTGGGCTCAGAAGCTAAGCTGGGCTTGCCTTGGTTGGTGCCTGGATGGGGGATCTATCAGGAAACCCCAGGGCTGGAGGCAGGGCTAGGAAGTTGAAACCACTCGGTACGGTTGCCAAGAAAACGACATGGCTGTGCCCCGTGTCCTTGATTCAAGGGCGAGGTCACCTCTTTGCTAAGGGGGAGCCTTGGTCCGGACCCCGAGATCTCTTGGCTGGCAGTGACGGTCCACAAAAAGGACATCAGATGACCTTTGGCTGTACCAGGGCGGCTGTAGGCCACCTTCTCCAACCTGGTGCCCTCCAGATGTGCTGAGAATTCTGAGAGTTGAAAGCTGTCACCTCAGTAGGACACACATTTGGGGTCTTCGGATCTTTAGGGAGCAGTGTTTTCCCAGGTTCCCCCTTCCTCCGTGAAAGTACGATCTGTGCCTCTCTTTCATTTCCCTTCTCCCTTTTGGTTCTTCCCACCTTCCCTTCCTCCTTTCACTTTCTTTCCCTTGTTCTTCTCCCTCTCCTGCCAGCAAAATTCCTTTGCGTTTCTTTGGGGAACGGGCTAAAATGGCCGTAATTATCCTAATTCAAAGAAGATTTCCGGCATTAGGGAAAGATTCCAGAAAGTGGTTGAGGTTTGGGATCTCGGGTGCCTGGCCGCTGGGATTCTCTGCTCCTCCTCGAGGTTCAAGCAGGACCTCAGTTCCCCCTGAGTGCTTGAGCGGTGTGGATCTCTCTTGGTGCCAACGCAAACCAGGTGGAAAAGCACCAGCTTGCAAAAACTGTTAGCATTCTTCCCCAGGAAAACTGCCCTACTTTCCAGCTGAAATCTGGCAACTAGAATTAGAAAGCTAACAGGAACTGACATTGTTAGCCAGTGTTTCTCAACCATGGCAACTTTAAGACGTGTGGACTTCAGCTCCCAGAAGTTGAAGGCTTGGCTGGCTGGGGAATTCTGGGAGTTGAAGTCCACACGTCTTAAAGTTGCCACAGTTGAGAAACACTGTTCTTAGTATTTCAGAAGGATGGCCAGGTTGAAGAGTTGCCCTGCTGAGAGTCACTACGATGAAGTCCAGCTGGGGCCCTCCAGGTGAGATAGACTTCAGTTCCCAGCAGCTGTAGCCAGTCTGGAAGGGATAATGGGAGTTGTGGTTGAGAGCATCATCTGGTGCCCCCTGCTGCATCCTGGGAAACGGGGTGGAGGGGAACAGCTGGTTGAGGTAGGTACTCAGCTTTATTCCATCTGCGTTTGCTGCAGAATCATTTCTGCAAGGGTCAGTAGTAAATGGCCTCTGCGAGGCTGAAAGGGCCGTTTGGAACATGGGGGGTTCCCCGTCTGAATTCAGGGCCCCACCTTCAGCCTAAGCTTGGTGGTCTAAATGTGCTCCCTCCCTGCATTGGACTAGAAATCCCATAAGCCCAGCATTGGACCCTACCAAGAATGCTAGGTATTGTAGTCTCAACCTCTGAATAAGGATAGGAAGGCTGGGTTAAATGTTCCTGTTATAAGACTCTGGTTGTTAAAACCCAGGAGGGGGTAGCATGATAGGGAAGTGTTTGAACAGAGAGATGTTTAAAAATAGGCTTGTGTGAGCTCCCCCCCCCCCCCCGCGTTGTTT